GCCATCTGCCAATTTCTACAAGGTCCGACTATTTCCCGGACTTCTCTTTAGCTCATTTTCGTTAATTGAAAGTCAAATTTTTTAAACAGTCGGGCCGGCAAGTAGCAATAGAAGAACCAAACAAAGGTTTGAAAACAAGTTAAGTGCCGTAATTGACGAAATTATAACGTGAGCAAAGACTAATATCACCAAAGAGAAAACTAAATGGACTTTCCGAGTTTTGAAGGTCTTTACGCTAAGATTGTCTTTTCATTACATGCACACAGCAAACACTTGTATAGTATATGTAGTTTCGAAAAAAACAAACAGATAAAAAATAAGAATGATGAAGAAAAAACAAACCAAACTGGCCCAACTGTTAAGAATTTACACAAATCACGGACGGTGTAAGAGAAACTGTGATCCTAGCTCATCATGGCAATCTTTGGTCATCGTACTGATGGAAAGGATAGCTCTGCCATACTTTCAGATTTGCTGAGTGGAAGGCCACAACAGACGGGTTTTAGGGACGCCTCCACCCCGGGCAGTCTTCATATTCCTGTGAATTCGGCTGTCGATCACTCATGAAACACACCTCTTGAGCAGTTTGTTTTCTAATTATCACGTTAATAAACTTGCGTGTTTTCACGAGCCACAACTTGGCCGAATTTCCCTGAACATTGCAGATTCTGTATTTAGATTTACAAACTACGAGCCAAAAAGTTGAATTCGAGTTGCAGAATTATTTGCGCTCGTAAACCACTGCAGATTGTGAACGATTTGACATTTTTGACAGCTTTAGTCTTAGGGTTTAGGGTTAGGCGTCGTGAAAGCAAGCGGCACGAAGGTATGGAATGAGAGAAAAGGAAATCTCCTTTTTAGAAAGTACAAAAAGCCCAGCAGGAGCTATGTTGGAGAGTCTGGCCTCCCTTTCGCCTAATATCACTGTTTATTTCATCTGTAAGACCTTTAAGGAGTCTGGACTCAGACGGATGGATGTTGTTAACGTCCTGTCGAGGCATGTTGTGACGCCCATGAAGTCAACTCGATAGAGCCAACCCTAAGTTTTCTCAACCCAATCAAGAGAGCTGTTTAAGTTTGTGTCTTGTCTTTCACTTTGCAGTCTATCATTCCCCGCTCACTCAAAGAATAGTTCGTTGAATGTGCAGCCCCCCTCCCCCCATTTAATGTTCTCCTAATTTTATTACAAAAACAGACACATGATTCAGAAAAATAGCAGCAATTTTATTGCTTGATTTGGTTAAATAAAGAGTATGCGTTGTGTAAATAGTGCGATAGTCCTGCGACAAATTAAAATAAGTTTACCAACAAATTCGCTCATCAATAATGGTACTGAAACTCAAAAGGCATTGGGAATGAGAATAACCCTCAGCAGCCTCTGTCCCAAGCCCCATGCTGTCATGCGAACCGAAGGTCATGAAAGTGAATCTCCATGCATTCCAATGATTGCAGTCTATACTCGATAAATAATTGTAATAACGAAAAATCTACATCAGCTTCAAAAGTTTTTGACAATATTTCTGTACGTTCACTTCTAAAATAATTGCAATGTCAAAAAGTATATCACGTGTGCCTATTTTGGTGTCAATTTATGTCAAATTCTAACATTATTAAATAAATCCGGATGACACTATGTAAATTTATGGCTGAACTTGACGCAACAACTGGCAATCGTCAGTGACCACTTAGTTGCAAGGGTAATCTCCAAAATTCCACAGTCGGACCCTAAAAATTGTCCGTAATAATTCTACTACAACCAGCTAATGTAAAATGCAACTTACATCAAATTCAGAAACATTTGTATGATCGCTGAAGACAACATGTACGTGTGCTTTCGTAGCAAGCTTATCTTAATGTGCTAGGATACAAAAGTCAGTCGTTATTGTGGATATATAATACTTTCATTTGTTCACCTATGAAATATGAAATCTTACTATCACGTTATCAAGTATGGATGTAAATCTTTTATAAGAAAGTTTTCCTGAATATGGTTTGTTCAGTAAACAATGACTAAGTTGCTAAAACTCGAAAACTCTATATATACAAAAAAAAAATTAAAAAAATTGAGACAGTAATCCATACTTTTCCCATCAATGCAGTCCGTTGACTCTAACACACTTTTATCTAATCGTTTTCAAATTATCTTCATGTCTATGAAGGAGTATGCGAATTTTAGTCAACATCTTTTCCAGTTGACAAGGTCCTATAAAAATAAACTTACTCTAGGGAACGTTTCAGATTATACAACCTCCCTTGATACTAAATTATTGCTTATGGATCAAGATCTATAGGTCACACAGACCCTTAAAATTTTCGATGCGATTCACTGCATTCAAAAGCGTCACCAACTCAACTAGAGCCCATATTTGATCGTAACCTAAGAACTTCTATCAATAACTAATCCTTCTTATAATACATTTTCATAACTTCTTGAAAAATGTATGCCGGTTTGTATCACTTATAAAAATGATTTCTAAGATGACTTGGAAAAGGGGAACGAAGAACGAAGTAAAAATTCACTAGGAGTCATGGGAGAATCCTTGGTGAAAAAGACAAACTGCTCAGCTAAAGCTAATGGCTTTGTTTTTTGTGTTGTTACTGATTTGTTGAGGAAATGGAACAGGTTTTCTATCCCAATGAAAGAGTGAAGGAAAGCAAATCCAAATGCGTTAGATGACTTTAGATACTCAACTAAAAATAATCTTACTGTTCATTTGCTTACTGAGTCGCCGCACCACAAATATGGATTAAGTGATGTCACGTAAAAAAACTCTTATACACTTACGTTCCCGCATGAAATTGGAGCCGAAAGATGAGCTGACAATACTTGAACAATGTCCAAACGCCGTATGTCTTTTTCTTTAAGTTTCTTGCAAAAATCATACACAGTGAGTTTCGGGTTTGACGTTGCTAGGAACTCGATTACTGCTTTTCCGGCTGTCTCTTGGCTGTGTTGCATAGAATCTATATGATGATCTTCCATAGTATACTCATTAGCGAGTTGTATCCAGGTCGGAGTCCCCTTTTTTTTCTTAGTCAGAAGGTTTCCAACCTTCTCTTGAATATTGAGATCTACATCTCTGAGACATTTGAGCTCTAAAAGTAAAGAAACGAAAGGAGAATGCCAATGTTTCCCCAAATAACTTATATTACGTGCAAAGCATATTGTGAAGAAATATGACAGGTTCCCAATCAGTTGACAAATATAACATACTCCTGAGTGCCCATCCTCAAAAA